TCGCCCCCCCCGACTCCGCACGCCTCTCTGCCTCTCACACACACACGCGCGCTCACGCTGCCTCTCAGTCTGCCTTTCCCCGGAGGTGCACCGCTAGCCATCGAATGAGGGGCCAAAGTTAAGGGATTTAACCAATATGAACCAGCGTTGCTCGTAGCAGTGCCCTATCCAGAGCAGAGAAGAATCCAGAGAGCATCCCTGCAGGAATGGAGTCGGTAAAACAAAGGATTTTGACCCCTGGCAAAGAGGGATTGAAGAATTTAGCTGGAAAATCGCTTGGGCAACTCTACAGGTAAGCTCCTGCAGAACTCCCTATACGTAACTGGAAGCTTTTCTCAACTGGTCAAGAGCTGAAAGAGGTTTGCTTTGGGGAGGTTAGCGGTGGCGGGTTGGGAGCTGTGGCAATGCTGCTGGATATAATCTGGATCCTGGAAACTAGTGCTGAAGCTGCTCAATATGGCACCCTGGTAATTTCTCTGTCTGATTCGTAGATGGTGTCAGTAAATATGTAGCTAGAGATTACCCCATATTTACCCCACAAACCCAGGATCCCATCTTGAAATCATAATCAGGAGAGAGCAGCTACCTGTGTTTTTGTTCTGCCTTAATGTTGCAATGCAATCACAGGATCTTTCCCCCTGCTCTTAAAAAATATTAAAAAAATAATATTTCTGGTTTTGATTAGTCTTGTCCCTTGTGTAATTCGTCGTCAGAGGAAGATAAACATGGAGATGTATAAATAATTGATATCCGAACGATTTTTTTTCCTCCTGAAGCTGAAACATATAGAGGAATGTTGAATTATTTATCCATCTGCCTTGAGAAGCATCTGCTTGGCGTATAAGTAATATACAACTGCAATTGCTAAACTCAAAAGCATCACTTCTGTACGTTTTTGTGCACAAGGAACATTTCTACTGTCTTCCAGTCCTGTGCACACAGATAAACCAGTCCAAATTCTTGCATACCTAAGAAGTTCATGCCCTAAAGTTCACACACCGTGCTCCATCCAATCTGGCGACTTCAGTGACCTCCAGGACGTTTGAGAATAGCCTGTGAACTTCCAATATATTTTCGATTGTATTTTGCGTTAGAAATTGCCCCGAAGTGTTGGTTTTGGTTTGGTTTGTTTGGGTGTTTTTCCGAATTACAGATATAAGGTAACTGCGGATTTATCTGCCCAGGGTAGGTCACGTAAAAGTCTTTTTTTCCATACCTATGCGGCAGTGTTGGGCACAGGCACAAGGCTGTTTCACAGCATGAGTCACAACTTCTGCTGCCATTTTAAGGAAAGGGGACATATCAGTGAAGTGATCAAGACAAAATTAAGATTTCCATATTCCTAGGAAGTGTACCATTTTGAAAAACCAAAAGGAAAACTGAAGTCATCCACGACGCAATGAATATCCCACAGATTTTAGTCACATTTAAGTCGTTTTCAGTGGTCTAAAAAAATTTTTTTTTAAAAAACAAAAAGGATAACCCAGAAAAACTGCTTAAAACTTAATTAAGGAAATAAACCTCTTTTGTCTTTTCTCCCCGAAAGATTCTACAACAATATTAACAAAACGATTATTCTACTGCTCTTTATATAGTCACACAATGAATAATGGACAAACGGTGTTTGTATTGTCCAGCAAAATTCCGTTTGGACTCACACCTCGATTAACAAATGCGCGATTTAGTAATCTTTTTCAGCTCAAGGGAATTAAGTACTTTGTTTCCGATTCTTACAATGAAAACAGTTTTCTTGCCCTTACGCATTGATTTTAGTGTCTTCCCGAAGACAAGACGCCTATTAAGGAAGAAAACACTTCTACACTCTCCTTTATCCGCACGAACGAATTTTGAACATAAACCCATAGCGGTTTATTGTATTCACAATTTTAAGACATTTCTTAATGCCGCGGTCTTTATGCATGGAAATAATTCGTCCAGAAAAGAAAAAAAATCGGGAGAATTTCAGCTGAGTAACTTTTGGAGAAAATCCCTGTATTTTTCCCCAAACAAGGATAATCTTCTGAGCCTTATTCTGCTAATTGTTACTGCCCCATCAGCCGGATGAGTTAACCTGAAAGAGATGCTCCTCTGAGGAGGATTTCTGACGTGAGAACGCACACCTAGAGCAGGGGTGAGGGCAGAGGTAGGAGAGTCCCGCGTATCGGGAAATGGTCACATATTTGCTTGTCAAGAAGATAGAATTGGTTATTTTTTCTGTCTTTTAAATATCTCAGTGACTACAAAAGAAGATTTAGGGATTCATCACAGGACACTTGCTCCATGAACCTGATTTTTCTTACTACTGGCACAGACAGATTTTCCACCCCAAAAAAAAAAAAAATCCCAAAGCTATACATATTCTAAATCACCTCTCGTGGTATTTTTCTGTTGATTCGAAATAGCTGCAAATAACCATTTCTCTACGGATTCTTGCAGATTGTTTTCTAGGAGACAGGATTTTCACGTAAAAACAAGGGAGTGGGGGCAATGAGATAGGGCTCAAAGCTGTTCGGGGAAGGTTAAACCTACTAAGTGATCACACCCTGACAGCTGAGATCTTTGGGAAAGTCTTCTCCGGAGATGCTGCCAGTTCTCTCAAGACTCTCATGTTTTCTTTCTCTGCATGTGACAGCCATTTTGCAAATCTAAAATAAGTAGCAATATCGCCCTCCTTGCCCCTTCCTTCTGTTAACATTTCTTTTGTTCCCAGACCTTAAGCGAGATGCACACCAAGATCATCCCCGTTTTGGTGTTTCTGATACAGTAAGGAGGGAATAAAACCTCCAAAAGATTATTTCTTGGGCTGCTCAACATGGCGCCTCTGCAGTGGTTACAGATGATGTCTTCTTATGCGTCCTACATATTTAAGCAGAAGTCTTTAATGATAGATGAGCAGTTCTCAGCTCGAGCTCCTCCCTGGGTTGCTGCGGCGGGTGGCGGGGGGAGTTGGGGATGAGTAATCCTGACTCCCACAGGTCATTGCTAAAGAACAGTTGAAGGTGAATGGAAAACAAGGAATAAATCCCCAAATCAATCCAAACCAAACCACAAGAGTGAGGGGGGAGCGGTGAATTTAAACCTTCAGCTACTGGAAATGGCAATGCGTTCAGGCGGTCAAGGCTTGACTTTTCCTTCTTGTGTCGGGCAGAGTCCTAGAGAAGAGGCAGAAGCCTGGGGACACCATCGAGCTGACAGAAGATGGAAAGCCCATGGAAGTGCCCGAGAAGAAAGCTCCTTTGTGCGACTGTACCTGCTTCGGGCTGCCCCGGAGATACATCATTGCCATCATGAGTGGACTGGGATTCTGCATTTCCTTCGGGATCCGATGTAATTTGGGAGTGGCCATCGTGGATATGGTCAATAACAGCACCATACACCGAGGAGGAAAAATTATTAAAGAGGTGGGAACCCTTCCCTCGTAAATACTATGTGCTCCCAGTACAACTCCCAGGTCAAGCACCTCCACGCAGGTGGGAAGGGCTCCTGACGGTTTCGTGGTATTTTCCCCGCCTGAGCCCCGCTTTGCTCACCCTGCCCGGCCCCGCTGCTGCCCTTCGTAGGACGAAAATCCCGTTCTTGAAGCAGAAACGTTTTCCTACCAGTTATATCTTTTTCCTTTTCGTTCCCAGCCCCACTTCGCGGTACTAATTTACGGACACTTCCCTTTTCTTTCCCTCCTTTTTCCACACAACCTCGAAAAACGCCGATATCTCGTAAAATAAACGTAGGGGATGGGAGAAGGAAGGCGTCGACTAAGGGACTGCCAGGGGGTGCGTCGCTGGCAAAGGAGGCGGGGAGGTTTGGCAGGAATGTTTGACAACACCAGCGTGAATTCGCTTTGATAAAAGGCATTAAATAAGAGCCGGTTTAAAGCGAGTTATAGCGTAGTGAAAAAGAGAAGGACGATACAGATGTGAGCGTTAAACAAAGAAGTCTGGAGAGAAAGTCCTTAGAGCTTGCTCCCTGCACGGGTAAGAGGTAACTGCAGTCAGGCTCTGCGGGAAGGTGATGCTGCCGCACTCCCGTCCGAGCAGGGCTGTGTCTGGAAATCCTGGGGATGTCGCTGCTCCCAGGGGCTCCCCCAGGTTCCAGGAGCTCCCCCAGGTTCCAGGGGCTCCTC